AGTTTTAAGTTTGAATAATATAATATGCCAATAAATTTGGTTAAGGATTGTGGGTTAAGGGTTGTACAACCCAAAATTTAATAATAAATAAAAATGCTATAGTTTTTTTTTAATCAAAATAGAAAATATTATAATTATAATATTAAATGATATTATAATTTATAAGTATGATATAGGGATATTCCTGGTGTAATTTGATTTAAATTTTAATATTTTTTAAACCAATCGAATTTAATCAGTTAGTAAAATTTTTAAATCAATCTAATCCATTATTATATGATAACCAAGTCATTCCAACTTAAATCGATTGGTGTGATTTGATAAGATTGATCAATTTTTAATATTATTAAATATATAAGATAATGAAAAAAATTTTAATATCAAGTAGAAAATATAATCATAAAACACATTAACATCTAAGTCAATATAAATATAATAAAATACACAAATTATAAATAAATACTTATACTATTTTATAATTGTAAAGGTTGAAAAAATTTGAAAATTCTTTTTGATTACATCATCATAGAAGCACCAAGAATAATAAAAGATGATTCTAAGTTGCAAGTACAATGCATGTAATTTTTAAAGGTTAAAATTAGTTTTTTTTTTCTTTAATGCACCAATCATTTAATCTCATTTCTAAATCTTGTTAAAAACAAATAAAATTTAACATAAATATCAATATGATTGATTAGAAGCATTCGTAATTAATATTTAAAACTCCTTAACTAAAAATCCAAAAATAGTAAGATATCAAAACTAATTTTATCATATAATTTTAAGACTTTTACAGTAATATTTCTTTAAAACTTAGTTAAAAGAATCAAAATATCATTTTAGGAACAAATTAGAAATTTAAGGCTGTAAGAGTAGAGTTGCAGACTAATTTTGAGGGATAGAATTGTAGGTGAATTAAAAATTTAAAATTAAGATTAGAGTGTATAATTAAAAAGGAAAAATAAATTGGGAAATATGAAAATGTTTTATTTTTATTTTTTAATTAAGTTAATGAAGTTATTATTTTGTAAAACAAGAAAAATAAGATTTAAAATACTACTAAAAATATATTATATTATTGAATTAAGTTATCTTATAATTGAGTTTTATTATGTAGTTAAGCAATCCAGACAGTTTGAAAGTAAAATCATAAACCAAATTAATTATATTAGTTTTAAAATTTTATAATTCAAATTAATCTAATTTTATATTGGTTTGATTTAATTTTTTATTGAATTGAGTTAGTTTAGGTCAAATTAATTGGATTAGATCAAATATGAATACTTCTAATATGATATATTATTATATAATTAATTTTTATTTATAATAATATATATTTATTTAATATCATATT